GTGCATGATTAAGTTTAAAATTCGAGTACAACAAATGAAATCGTGCCAAGGCATCGATCACGACACTGAGCGACTCATTCATACAGAGAAAGAAAAATGGAGAAAAATTCTATACAGTCATGGATGCGGTACTATATCTTTCAACATTCTGTCATTCTTTTATTGGGTCTGATGGAATCCCAAGTAGTCTGTTCATAAAGTGTCCTTGACGTAGCGAAGAAAATTTTCTTAATTTAATCTCTCCACTTGCCAAACATAACTCAACTCTTACGTATAAGCACCTAACAAAGGGAAAGGAATCATATTTACCCCATATGTGTCTCATACAGAAAAAAAATGAACCAGGTGACTCAATACGTAAAAACGTGTGGTGATTGTGTGAGACAAAGGAAAATTTAATTGATTTCATAGAAGTTGGGGGAAAGATAGGAGAATGTATTTCTGAACGCATTGTAGAAAATTAGTGTCTTAATTGACACTTGATGGTTTAGATATTGGAAAATGTCGGTGTAAGTCTTTCGACAAAGGGTTTAATATGGTTGGCATTTCTAAAACAGCACGAGCTTACAGAATTGAATAAGCTGGATGAATTTGTGCCATGTTTGGCTAACTCCTTATATTTTGTCAGTATGCATTCTGCTTCTTCGTCTCCGGAAGCAGTTAATCTATTTGGAATTATTCAGAAAATACTTCGCTTTTTTGTTGGATGCACTACTCGACAGTATATTATTAAAAAATGTACAAAATACAACTTAAAAGAAAGCAGCCAGACGAGATGGTTGGAAAAATACGTGGCTGTGAAAGTCCATTTAATTATTTTACCAGAAATATTCAAATAGTTAAAAAAAATTAAAGATATTTCTCTTGATGCGGAATCAAAGCATGAGGTAGGATATCTGTTACATGCTGTGAAAAATTTGAATTTACTCAACCTGAAAATTTGAGCAAATATTTTTCCAGAATTCAATCGAGTAAATATAGAAATTCAAAAGGAATTCCTCTTCCGCGTTCTGTGTAGTTAACGAAAGAACTGACCAAAACTGAGGAATTATAAAAAATGAGAGAAAAATCCTATGGAATATTGGATACAAGAGTCTAAAACAGTAGCCGAAAAAAATGCAGTTGAGTCTATTCTGACAAATAAAGAATTCAAAAGCACAAAAAGCAATCTGATGAACTGTTTGAGGACAAATCACGAACACTTCAACCTGTTCAGATCGAAGTTTCAGCAAATTAAAACATATTAAAAAATATCTACGATCATCGGTGAGCAAGAGCGTTTATCAAGTCTCGCGATTCTGGCAACCGAAAATAAACCGCAGATCAAATTATGACGATTCCATGCACTTATTTCGCAGAATAAAAGGCTTACAGTGTAAAATTTTAATTTTCGTTACTAATTCCGTGATATTTTAATAGCGTTAAGGCAGGTAAGAACTTAAAATTACTTATAACATAGAAAGTATGAAAAACAAGACAGGAAGCACAAAGACTCATATTCTGTATAATCGTTTCAGAATACTTCCTTTCGGCAATAGCCCATATTTTGTATGCAATGGTTCCATTAGTGGCTGAGCAACAAAAGCCGCTGAGCACTCATAGTTTGGTCCGAGGGTCAAGTATAGGTGAATGGGCTGGATGTATGAGTATTTCCGTGATTTTCCCTGTGTGTAACATAGATACAAGCCAGTTTACCTTACAAAGTTTTTTCCACGGGATATTCCTCCTTTTCCATGCAGAGCCTAATGGCGAAACACATAGTAAATAATCAGACAAATGTCTTCAGCAGTGGCCGAGTGATTAAGATCACTGTATACTGGTAGTTCGACCTTGCCTGGGTTCAAACCCAGGCGAACGGGCTGGTTCCATGGTTTGTTTTCGTGGATTTCCTCATGTGTAACATGAATACGAGCAAGTTTTCTTTAAAAGTTCCTCTACAAAAGCACCTCTCCTCTAAAGCAGATACCAGTCAGTCTCCTTAATTTTTTTTTTCCACAAGGCATTCCTCCCTTTCCATGAAGTACCTAATGGTGAAACACATAGTAAATAATCAAACAAATGTCTTGAGCAGTGGCTGAGTGATTAAGACAGCTGAATACTGGTAGTTCGACCTTGCCTGGGTTCAAACCCAAAAGAGGGCTGGCTGCATGGTTTCTCTTCGTGGATTTCCTCATGTGTAATATGAATACGAGCCAGTTTCCTACAAAGTTCCTCCACGAAAGCACCTCTCCTCTAAGCAGGTAGCCCTCCTGTCTTTGCCATATTCATATAATCTAACCCAACCTAATTTAACCAGTAATGCAATAATATGGAATAGTAAGAAGCTTAGGGGTTGCTCGTTGTCCCTAGAACGGAAAATGAATGGTGGCGAGGACTGGGGAGTTAGAAGCATTCAGGATTAGAGTTAGGATTAGACTTGAATCCGAATGTAAGCTAACCAGAAAGGCGATTCTCCTAGGGAGGAGATGAATTTCTAATTATGTTTTTTTCCTTTATAGCAAAAAAAGGGGAGGGCCCATTAAGAACTTAGTATAAAATGGAGCTTAGGTTTTTACCTCAAACCATATCTATTTCTGTACTTATTAAAGAAATGAAAACGTTTTAGAGAAACTTAAAGGATGATGGGTGAGGGCGGCAGTTTTAGCTTTTTCCCCACATCAGAAAAATCAAAAATCTGGCGCTGTGTAGCTTAAATGATACTTTTGATTCTTCCCATTTCCAAACTTCCTCCTGAGATTAAATTCAAAATTTGTGAGAAAAATAAATAATGAAAAATTTGGCAAATAACATGAATAATGAAATTAAAATTCAACTTTGTACTCTCCAGAATGAGATCAAGACAATATGTGACCAGTTCTTCCAATCACAATAAACAGTACAAAGTCTTTAATCCGGACTCACCAGGACACTTCGGCGATTCCAGATTATAGATCATCAATTTAAATCTAGTAAGATGGCATGCAGAAATTATAAAATTAAAAATATGAAACCGTAATTTATGAAATAAAGAGCAATTATGATCTAAAGAGTATCAAAATTTAACCCCCCCCAAAAAAAACTTAATATTTATTTGTTTACTTTATTAAACATTTCTTTCAATGTAAGTTGTTTAAGTTGCTTTGTTTTATGTGCTAATACTTTCTCTTTAATTCTATAAACAGACATAATTTCTTGTTCAGTTACAAAGTTTCACTGTTCAAGTCCTGCAACTGCTGTGCCAAGAATACCGACTAACTTGTCAATCGAAATTTTTTCGTTTTCACTAACCTCTCTGTCACTTTCTTCATGCCTTTATCCATTTTTTGCAGCAATTCCACTTTTTGTTTGATGGACATCGAAACATGCTTTCGCTTTGTAGATCCTTTGGCAGCTCCAGAATCGGAAACTCTTTTTGACATAATCGAAAGTTCAAGCTTACTTTTTATAAAACTGCTCTAACAGTCTGCAAAAAATAATAAGCTGGATCATATTAGAAGATTAAGCAACAAAGCAATCTGCGACATTAATTGAAATAGATAATTAGACAATTTTAGCCTAGCTTATACCGCCCGTTATACATTAAACGCGCATGTGTAAAAGTATTATGCGCATGCGTAAATGCTATGCATGCACAGAAAGTTTGTAGCTTTGACGTCCGGATTATAGATCATTCCTGATTATGGACGTTCGGATTAAAAACTTTTTACTGTACTAAGTTTCTAACAACCAATGACAACAGTCTTTGGCACACATCTGCCAGGTTATGCAAACGGATACTCTCATTTTGTCCTTAGCTGTGGACTCAGTGGTGGCTCATACAGACATGGAGAAAGCTGAGCTTATTGCTAGCAGTCTCCAAACCAAATTTACATCCTGTCATGAAGTTATTTTTGTGAACAATGCAAATACCTTCTCACAACATATTGATTATTTCTTTTTTACAATATACTTCACTTTCTGAAGTTAGCACATATGTTGCTAAGCTCAAGCCCAAACAGCACCTGGATTGGACTCTACTTCCAATTGTATGATTAAAAATCTCCCCAATAAATTTGTTCTTCAAACAGTAATGCTAATTAATGTTAAGTTATTACATTGCTATTTTCTGGAAAGCTGGAAATGAGCACTTGTTGTGCTTATTCCAAAACCTGGACAGTGCCACTCTAACACTCAAAATTACAGACCTATCTTCATTATATCAGATATACAAATACATATTGCTTGAATGGCAGAAACCTTGGATTTAAAATTATTCTGAGAAATTTCTCAAAAAAGAGAAGATAGTTACAACCAAACTTCAACCACTATTAGCTCAAAAGAGCCCTCTGCCAACCAAAACAATACTACTGAGGAGTAGATTATTAATTTACAAACCTGCCCTGTAGCCAAATAGAAAATGATAATGATAACAAATAAAAATGTGTGTATTTTTAAAACAAAATCATTCTGATATAATTCAAACATGCTATGTTTAATCCATTTTCTTAACATTTAACTTTTCACAAAATTAAGACTTTTTTTCTTTATATTTATTTAAAAAATGGTATATTTTAAGAAACAAATTAATCTCATTTTTCAGTGGCAAATTGATTTTACAAAACTATGTTATCAATAATATATCTTCTCACAATGACAGCTCAACATTCTTTCTTTAAACACAATTATTATAATCTAAATGTCATTTATTTTTTTTCCTAAAGCATCTTTTAAATGAACTTTTGAAATTATCTAAAATGCACAGTCTTGCAGTCAAATTTCAAAATGACAAAAATACTTTGAATTTTATGAAAGATTAGAACTAGTACACATTTTTGCATCTGTTAACATTTCAAAGAAATTTCACAATTCATTCACGGTGTTATTCTTAATGAATTTATTTTTCCAACTTAGTTTTCATTGATAGTATAATGTTAAAATTAGTTATAAAGTTTAAATAAACTTCATTAATCTGATACATATTGCACAATAAACATAAAACAAAACACACACGTAAAAATATAATGTAAATAAGAAGCACACACCATAGCAGTTTCAGGATCTACAATCCTCATGATGACCTGAGCTTGAAGTAAAGCGTATGTTAGTTGAGGATTCTGTACCAGTAAAGTCCGGGCTTCATTGGGGTTATTTTCTAAACATTGCTGCATAAAAGAAATAATAATAATAATAATAATTGTTTACAAGCACTTTTAGGAGAGAGTTTTCTTCCAACTTTTTTTAAAATAAAAAACTGGCAGATTCTCTCCCGAAATTTTAAAACAACTCCAAATTGACTTGAAATTACTTAAAATGTAAGATTCAGGTTACTGAACCACATATAATATAATTCTGAAGTAAAATATATACATATTTAATTTAATTTAATGGTTTTTATCAACTTCATTTTGTCCATTTCTTATTTTAAAGAGAAAACGCTGTGTAGCGAAAACAAGCTATTATTTGCCAATTGACGAAATTCAACTTGCGTTTTTCAAGAATAGAAGCATAACTTAAAATATATATTATACTTTTGTTCTAACATATGTATTTTGATAAAAATTAGACTTTTCCTGAAATGACAAACTGATCTTTTTTTTTCTTCCAGATTTTGATTTAAATTCTGTCTAAAACCCAAATTTTGTAAAATTCAGTTAGAAAAGTTCATTAGTAATTCAAGAATATCATTTGGTGTACTTTTTTTGATTTTACACTGAGAGTAATTCACTTGGCAAACTTTCACTTCCACTTTCATTTTGCAGATGTAGGGTGGGGGGAACCCTGTTTCTTCTTTCTTGGAAATATTTTTACCTTATACTATATTTTTCATACTTGTTATTTTTAGATCATTTTTTCCTTTTTTAGAATTTTATTTTAATTATTTGAGTTGTATGGCTGAATTATATTAACACCTGAACAAGTATTCCTGTGAAAAGTTCTAGAACTCTAAAATGTTTCTTTTGATAAAGTAAGTTTTATTAACCTACCATGGGACCTCTGTGCATTCAATCTAATACAAACCAGTATACGTGCAACAATACAGTGTATAAAATTTCTGTTCCTTTGCTTTTTTTCTCAAAACGCTTTTCTATTGCGAAGCCTTTCTCTCCTTGAAGGAAGGGTAATATGCAAGACAACAAAATATACAACTCTGAATTATACTTTAAATTAACACTTTTTAATTTGGGAACTTCTTCCTCTCTATTCTAAAAAAATAGTAATAACTTTTTTGAAACTGTGTCATAGCTGAAAACTATTTCTGCATTAACCTTCTGGACTGTGCACAGCTCTTAGCCAACCAGATTAATGAAAAATTTTACGATAAATATTGTTGCAATCCAAGAACGTTCTCTCTTATGCTACCTAAATGTGCTTGCTAAATGATATTTCTTCGCTTAACTGCATTTTTTTCATTGGCCTAAAATGTAATTAACTGTGCATACATAATTGTGAGCCATGTTTAGCACTCCTAGTATTGTATCAATTAAGAAAAAATATGTTTCTGAACAATCGTTCCAGTTAAAAAATAAAAATGATGTTTTAATCATCAAGCAGTTGTGATTTTTTTTTTGTCATCTATGCAACAGTCTTCTCCATGATTTAAAAGTGAATTGGTATATTCCCTAATGAAGCTCTTCTGATAGTAAGTTATATACAACAAAATAAATCAACACATATTATATCCTACAAATATTTAAAAAATTATGATAATTTTATTTACTTTTGAAGTGCTTTTTATTCAAGAATATTTCATTGACGTTTTCTCTATGGTGTTACTTATAACAAAATTTTTAGCAAAGTCTGAAATTATGTAAAATTAAAACAAATCAAATCAGAAGTGCAATAAGCACTATAAGATTAAATTGCCTATTTATTTTATAATATTAATTACTGTAATAAAATTTATTAATCTGAACCATCCACTAATAAATACCAGGAGTTTTCAGATGAATTTACGGAAGTTGTTTTCCAAAATCTGTATTACATGCAAACTGAGGGATTAACCATGTGAAGCTCTCTTAATCCTATCCTGGCTGATATCTACATGCATTATTATAAATCAAAATTATTTGAAATTTTCAACTTCCCGGTATGGTTCCGCTATGTAGACGATACTTTTACCCTCTTTGCTGGTAATAAAGATGATTTAAATAAAGTTCTTTCAATAATGAATTCCACTGATCCTGCTATTCAGTTCACTTCTGAGCTTGAGACATCCAATTCCCTTCCGTTACTCGACATTTTGGTCACATGTAAAACATCCAACTTTAGTATTATTGTTTACTGTAAACCTTCACTGGTTTGCCTTCCACCACACTTCAAATCCTAAACAGAAGTTAGCTTCATTTTATTCCCCTGTTTCTGTGCACTTCAAGTTTGCTCCTCCAAATTGGATCTTAATCAAGAACCAAATCTCTTAAAAGTAGTTACTATTGACAGGAGCTTTTCACCCAACATTATTAGCCAAGCAATTGTAAAATTCTCATCTCAGCATACCAAAAGGCACACTCTTGTTTCAGAAGATTATAAGAATGTTGTCATTCCTTTCTTTCCAGAATTAGCTATAAAACTGCATGTATTTACAGAAATTTAACTTTTGGGTAATTTATTCTCCTATCAATAAAATTCCCAGTTCCATACTTAAGGATCCCATTCCGGATATGAATTCCTGGAGTATTTACAGAATTCCTTGATTAATCTCTTGATTAATTTGACCAATTTACATTGGTCAAATTAATCAAGAGAGCCTTAAAATTTCGCATTAAAGAACATGAGGCATATGTTAGGAAAAAAGAAAAACAGAAGTCCTCTGTTGCCTAGCAATGTTGGTCCGAAAATCACACATTTTTCTGCATCCAAAATTATTTTAAAAAATCTTCCATTGGTGAATTAGATTTTCTAGAGGCGTTTCACAATCAAAAAAATCTTTCTGTTCTAGTTAACGACCATAATTTCAATCTATCTTTACAATTCAGCTTTTAAGGAAATTATGTTTTAGTTTTCTTGTTTCATCAATAGATGGCACCAGTAACTTAACTCTTTTCCAGCCATTATTATCTTATCACCATATTCATTATCTTGTTCGTTTGCTCTTTGACAGCTCAGGAAGATGGTTCAGTAGTCAAACCATTGACACAAGCCCTGGAAAATTTGCATATATAATGCTGATTTTTGTTGTTTCACTTCTAAAATATTCGTTGTCTGGCATGTTATTTTAACTTAAGCTCATTTATGTCAATTATATCACTGCTAATACAAAAATAAACTCTCATAATTATTTTTTAATTGTAGTATATCCGTAACTAGCCTCTTATAATAATTCTGCACATGAAAAAGTATATTAACATATATTCCTTATAAAGAAGCAACAGAAGAAGTTTGAAATTCATTTAACATATTTTAAAAGTGTTTTTAATTGAATGCATCATAAATTTATAACATGAATACATGGTATAAATTACAAAATAAGAAATTTCAATAACACATTTTTCTCTTTCTTATACATACATAGGTATACATTAATCTATGACACAAATTCACTACAAAACATTTATATCGTAAATTGAAAACCTAATGTTCATTTTCTTAATTTTTTTGCACATATTCTTGTGTAATGTTTGTTATGCCATTAGAGGAAGTAAATGGGTCTTTAATAAGTAAAACTGTCATTAACTCATTCTTAGCTCGAAGGCATCTTGACAGTTTCGGCAGAATCTTAAAAAGCATAAAACACTGATAACCTTTTTATTATTTACTTACATTCATAAAAAATATTCACAAATATTCCAATATTCATAAAAATTATAGAATATGAATAAATTCAAAATATAAGCAAGTTTTTCATTTTATAATACCTTCATCTGTGTCATTAAGTCATACAACTGCTCAGGAGGTAGACTACACATTGTTTTTGCAATTACATCAGGAGCCTTATCAGGAGACACATCTGGACCAAAGGGACTCTGAAGAAAGAAAAGAAAATGAATTTAAAGTATGCACTTTTTATTAAAATTCATGCACTTATATTAAGGTATCATAGACCACTTTCTAACTCAATCAAGACCATGAAATACATTTATCACACATTTCTGAATATAAGCACCATGTATTTTTAATTCAAAAATTTACCTAAAACTCAGAACACATACATAAGTCAAAATGTGGGGGGGGGGCAATCCAATAACATTCAAACATTTCACCATGAAGGCAAAAATGTTGCCAAGCAGGCAAAATGGGTAGAATATTTTGCAATTCAAATCACTGTGAAGTAAAACATCAAAAGCCAATGGTGACAGTAGCAACCCTATATGAAACTAGCATACTTTTCCATTCATTTGTTATCTCGTTATATGGTCTATGATATCTGTGTTAGTATTACTTTCTGCATCATTTTATTTTGTCTGAAGGAGGAATGGGGAGAGAAATTCTTATAAAGAAAATTTCAAACTATAAGTGATCACGTTTGCTGAAAATTCTAATAAAAGTTTGACTGCTTGACACTTTTCTATAAATGAAAAATAAGTGGAAAAAAAAAGGTCAATAATATAAACAATTTAAAAAAATAATACAACTCATTTTCATAAAATGAATAAGTCATTTCATTTCAAATAAATTTTTTCCTCAAACTAAAGAAATATAAAAGTGCTATAGAGGGTGATTTATCATTTGCACCTGTTTAAACTACCTAAGGGGTACTTTAAACAGGTTTAAACTTTTTTTTTTTTTTTTAGCAGATTTGTATACAAGCCAACACCTGCAATTTAACTTTAGAAAAAGTTTCAAAATTTCTCGGCTTATACACGGAATTACATGATATTCACATCCATCAAAAACATCTTAATTTTGATATTAGCCTAATATATTTGCAGCTATGATACAATTTAAGAAATATTTTTCTAGCAGAAATACTATTTTTTTTTTTTTTTTAGAAAACATTTTTATATTTGTTTATAAAACATAAATTGTATTCTTACCTCAAAGCTTCAAAGCTTACCTGCATGAAACACAATACATTTTAAATGATTCAATACATTCCTGAGCTGTTCATGCTAATTTTTTCTGTCATTGCAACTTAGATGATTACAACAGTTACAGGCATTATTAAAAGATTATAGTTTCGAGAACATTTATAATGTTAAAATGGGAAATTTAAATGGATCTTTACTATTGCTCAATAACCATTAAATCAGTGACACCCAAAGACTCAAATGCATATAGCACTAGAAAAGTACAACAAAGAGTAATAGCAATACTGTGTGCCACTATTTTTTTAGGTGAAAAAAATAAACATTCATTATGATGGAGAAATTTTATTAAGAGTAAGTTCGTAACAAAAGTGAAATGTAAATTCAAAATCTTGGATGACAAAAGCTCTTTATTCTTGGGTGATGGAAGCAATTTTTCTAATGCTCTAAATTCTGTTATGGAAATTAAAACATATCATAACTAAGGAAATGATGATATTTAATTATATTTAATTTCAAACTGTTTTAGAAAGGAAATGATGAACCAAAGCATAAAATACAGCAGATAAATTTCATAGCATGAATACTGAACATTTTAAAATTACCAAACAAAATTTATAATGCAAGATTTTTGTAGTTTTATTTTGCTGGCAGAGGGGATCTATACAAGACATGCTTTTCCTACATTTTAAAATATTATTCATTGACAATGTAAGATCTGTCTCTTCTATTCCACATAAACTTAAACTAGAATCCTACAATGAACCTGGTGAATTCTCGCACAGGCGTAAATGAAGTACCAGCTCAGAAGAAGGGAGAAAATAACCCTTTATTTAATTTGAACAAATAACAGAAAGGAATAATCTTCGTGCTTTACAAAAACACCGTGAACTTGCGGTGAAACTTAAACATAGAATATAAATCAATTCAAATCTAAAATAGAATAATGGGATTAGCACGTGAAGCTACGTCTAACATGTTGACTCAACAAAAACCTAGCAGGGGTGATGATAATCCAAAATAGCTAAGAGGCGTACAAGCATAAAAGTGAGATAGCAACAAAATATGCACTGGCTAGCAAAAACATGCAGTGAATAAACTCAGTGATTCATCCATTTAAATACTCACTTCACTTAACTTCAAATTTACATCCTGGCAAGAAAATGCGAGGGGAAGTTGAGGAGTTCAGAAAAGGTATCAAACTTAAAATATATTTGTTATGCAAAATAAGGGAAACTATAAAAGAACATTTCATAAAATAAATTTCCTTTTTTTTTAACATTATTCTTAGAAATTTACAGTTTTATTATTATAATGCTAAATAAACTAATATACCTAAAATAATAATATGATACAAATAAATTATATTAATAACAGTCATCTTCTCTACGACGAAGAACTATCCTTAGAATTCATGGGGACTTGTCTTAAAGAGGGTTCACTGTACGTATGTCTGTAAATATATTGTTGTCACTTGCCTGCTAGTCACATCAGCACAAGCCCTCGAAATTTACTGTGGCAAGGAGTGCAAGAGAGGACTTTCGACTCGCCTCATATTTAGAACGCCCCCATGCCACACAGAAACTAATAAACAGTATTAAGTCTAAACCTGGATATCAAATAGCCAGAATGAATTTGGGATACCCAAAAATTTTATAGAATCTTTCTTACATATTTTAATGAAAGGAAAGTTATTTACAGATTTAATAAGAATATTTATATTGAAAGAATGGTTTACAAAGGATGCCCACGTGGTTCTTGCAGTACTCCGCTGCTCAGGAACACCGTAACATATCGATTGTTAAAGAAAGAGTCCCCAAATGGTGTAAGAATGTTATGTTATGCTGATGACATTTTATATGCAATTTGTGAAAACTCTTTAGAGAAATTGTTCTCATTTGGTACAGAAGATTTTAAAATGTGGATTGAAAAAGAAAAGCTGAGATGTAAATTTACAAAAAACTTATTTCTTGTTTTACCCAAAAGATGGAAAAGAAACTAGACCACCACACCTAAAATATGAGGGTGTTAGAATTAAAATGTGCTGAAAACCTTAAAATATCTTGGTGCTTCGACTGTAAACTGAATTCTGAAGAACATTTTAATATTTATAAAAGAACTAACTCTATTCTGATGGATTATAAAAGAAATTTCTCAGCCGAGTCATTAGCACTGAAAAGTAACATTATTAGATTAATTTACAAAACAGTTATTACTCCCATTATATTATATGTGTTGGAGTTCTAGTTCTAGTGGACTTGCAGCGAATCAGAAATAAATTAGATACAATACAATGACTTTGCCTGATGCTTTGGACTAGATGCTTTAAAACAGTCTCGACAGAATTTGTTTGCATATTGGCCAGTAGATTGCCCCTCTTGATATTTTATTCTTTTTATTATGATAAATTTAAATTACGTTCACAAAATGTTGATTTTATTACTTATGAAGGTTTTGCTGCATATTAAGAAAAGCAGTGAAATACAGAGACCAGGTTTTTGCGTTGGAGAACTGGATATATTTACTGACGATTCAGGTTATGACAATGAAATTGGTGTAGCATATGTGGTTTACTTGTTTGGTACAGAAATAGATGACAAAATTAGACTTGAACCTTACACTTTAATTTTTCAAGCTGAATTGCCTATCTTATTTGCTCTTAAATGGACTGATGAAAACCTGACTGTAAAAACATATACAGTCAAAAGTCATTAATTTGGACACCCATAATCCGGAATGATCTATAATCCGGACCACAAAGCTACAAACTTTCTGCGCATGTGCGTAAGACTTTACGTCTGCAAATATGCCTGTGCGCGTGCGCAAAATATGTTTACGAATGCGCGTTTAACGTATAACGGACGGTATAAGCTAAGCTAAAATTATCTAATTCAGTTAATGTTGCAGATTGCGTTGTTCCTTAATCTTTGAATTGGATACGGCTTATTATTTTTTGCAGACAGTTAGAGCAATTTCATAAAAGTAAGCTTGAAATTTCGATTATGTCAAATAGAATTTCTGATATATGTTTACTAATATGTAAAGGATCTACAAAGCGAAAGTATGTTTCGAAGACCATTAAACAAAAAGTGGAATTGCTGCAAAAAATGGATAAAGCATATCCTTTGTTTATCTTTAACGCCGCGGCGCGCAATGAATTGGAAGTTGATCTGTCAGCACTATCCTTATCTTCAGGGCAGATGTTTTTATTTTATTTGGCTTATAATTCCTTACTAAATGCAGTATTTCATCTCGATGTACTCCGTCTTTGATATGGTTTAAATCAAATTCCTTGTCATTATAATTCGCTTCTGATAGCAAAGAAAGTGACAGAGGTTATTGAAAACGAAAAAATTTCGATTGACAAATTAGTCAGTATTTTCGACACAGCAATTATATAGGACTTGAACAGCAGAACTTTGTAACTGAACAAGAAATTATGTCTGTTTATAGAATTAAAGAGAATGTATTATCACATAAAAAAAGGAAGCAACTTAAACAACTTACATTGAAAGAAATGTTTAATATAGTAAAGAAATAAATATTAAGCTTTTTTTTTTTTTTTTGTAAATTTTGATACCCTTTAGATCATAATTGTTCTTTATTTCATAAATTACGGTTTCATATTTTTAATTTTATAATTTCTGCATGCCATCTTACCAGATTTAAACTGATGATCTATAATCCGGAAAAATCGATAATCCAGAATCGCCAAAGTCCCGACGAGTCCGCATTAACGACTTTTGACTGTATTAATATATGTACACACACATCTGGTTTGGAAGCACTAGCAGATGTTGATAACACTAATATTTTGGTCTCACATATAAAAGATCTCCTTGTAAAAGTTGAGAAAATACATGATGTGAAAATGAACTGGATGAAAGCCCATATTGGTGTTATAGGTAATGAGAGGGTCGACATGTCGTTCGATTTTCAGGCATCAAAAAGGAATTGTTATTGGTAAAATCAAGGATTTCTATTATGATTGCAGGAAA